TTGTTACAAGAGTGATTCATGCGAACCAGATGTCCAACGATATGGAAATAGCTTAGTAAACGGCAGTACTTCAAGATCATGGAATATTACGCTGCCATTAAAGTTATAGGTATACGGTCTATTTTGAAACATAGAACCATGTAATAGCTTATGGAAAAAATAATACATAAAGTTTATGTACACTTTGATTATAATTATGTTAAATATTTATACATCAGAGAAAGAGTTCAAGATAATATGCAGAAATGGTGCCTGGCTCATTCTAGGGCCTAAGCGGTTTTCTTATTCGTCTTTCTTTCCTTTTCGTTCTGTTCCCTCAAATAAATACTCCATGATCTGTTGGCTGGTAGATCTCTAGAACCAAACCAAGGAATAAGAATCTACAGTTCTTTGCTCCCTAGTTTTCAGTTTTCTCTCCCCTAATAAATTTCTAGGAAAATCATTGTTAGGACATTGATATTTCTAGAACTGGATAACTGGATTTAGTTACTCTAAAATCAGCAGACACTTTTGCTAATGGAATAATATACATGTTCATTGCCTGTAGTAAAAAATGGAATGATATATATCTGTTGACAATAGAAAAAGGTGGAATAATATTGATACATTTCCGTTGACTGTATTAAAAACTAAAGCTGAATAACGCTTTCAAGCCCATTGTAGCTAAAAGAGGGAAACATGGGGGGTTTAATTCGTTGTCAAATGATAATAGTACGTAAAACACACAACAAAAACAAAACCCCCAAGCTACCTTGCCACAATCTCAGGGCAAACAGATCTTCAAACCAGAGCAACGGGACTGGTAAGGGCAGGGACCTCAGATTCGCTGTCCAGGGACTCACACATTTGATCTCCTACCTGCGGGAGCAGTGCATTCACCTGTTTAGGAACGACACATAGATCTGGTCTGTTTAACGGTGAGGGATATTCACGTCCTCCATAAGCCGTGGAGGTAGGTTAGACCCAGGTACAATCAGTCTGAATTAGCATAATTCATGGGGCGTCATTACTCCTGAGTTCACTCGGTGACCCGAGGCTGAGCCAGGGACTGAGAACCGCACGTGCATTATTAATTCTTCTACAGACCTCTGGCTCCCATGAGGTTTGCCATCAGTTTTTGGCCAGGCCCACAGTCATCCGGTGGCTTGAGTCAACCACTCTCCAGGTGGCTCCCCCCAGTGGATGGCAAGATGGTGCCGGCTGTTGGCCAGGGGGCCTCAGCTCTTCCCCATGTGCTCCTCTCTGCAGGGCTGCTCTCACAACACCTGGTGACCCGTTTCCCCCAGAGCTGGCAGGGCAAGAGTCTAGGTCAATGGCCCTCAACTGGGGGCCGTTTTGCCCCCTCACCCCAGGGACATTCAGCAATGTCTGGAGACATTTCTGATTTTTACAACCGAGTAGGAGGTGCTACTGGAATCTAATGGGTAGAGGCTAGGGATGCTACCAAACATCTTATAATGCACAGAACATCTCCCCACAATAAAGAATTATGTGGTCCAAAGGGTTCATGGTGCCACTGTTGAGAAATCCGGGTTATAGGTGGAAGCGGCAATGTCTTTCACGGCCTGGCCTCAGAAGCCCTACACTGTCACTTCACTGTATTCTCTTGGGCACACAGGGCGGCCCTGAGGCCGTGTGGGAGGGGTTACACAGGGGTGCAGATACTGGGAGACAAGGATTATCGCGGGTTCATCTTGGAGGTTCGTTAACACAGCACCAAGTCTTGAGAGTGGTCGTCTTTCTGCAGTGGGACTTATTTCCCTCTCTCTGCTTGTCTGTATTTTCTGAATTTATGGAATAAGAATGTAAACTTATACAATAACATATACCTGTAACATTACATAATGCAAAATAAACATCAAAAACACTGCATTAAATCCCTGTAACACTACCTAGTGCTTTGTGAGATGTTATCCGCTGAGAATCATGGGGTCATGGGCCGCACGTACATGATAATCTGACATTACAGGCTGTTTTTAATAAGAAGGTCAGACAGTAGCCAGGAGGGGTGGTTGGGATTCCTATTGTCCCCTTTTGGTGAGAAGACAGAGCCATTGTTCCTGAGCATCTAGAGGCCACTGCTTCCTGGAAGCCTAGTACCATCTGGGCTCTGACGAGAGCTTTCCTTGGTGTCCATTTTCTCTCTAAATCCTATTTTCCTGTTTCAAAACTTCAAGTAAAGCCAAAGCACCAGGCAACACTGTTATAGAAACTTTAGCTGACACTGTCCTTCCCTTTTCTGTTATCTGAACGAGTTATTATTCAGATTGCCTCTGACTCAAAGGGTAAATTCCCTTCCTCCTCTGCGAGGCTGGTTGGTGGTCCAGTGGGGTGCGCTGGGTTTAATCCTTCTTCCCTCATCTGGGGTCCTGCTCCATCGGTCACTCCCGTTCTCGGGTTATCATCAACTTCTCCCTCACTATTGGCCAGTTCTTCTCAGCACATAAATGCACTTAAATCTTTCCATTCATTAAAATAATAATGATGAAATGGTACACGTCTTCCTTCTCTCCCACATCCGCCACGGGCTAGTGTCCAATTTCTTCTCTTCCCCAACTTCCTACAGAGATGTCTATACTCCCCGCTTTTACTTCTTCACCCCCAGACCTTTCTTGTCCTCCCCAAGGTCAACACGGAGTCAAGGCAGAGATTTTTTGCTTGTATTTGCCCGTGTTTCTCAAAGACCGGCCCCACTCACTTGCAGTAGAGTCACCTGGAGGTCGACTGAGCTGAACCTCTTGGGTAGGGGTCGGGCTGGACTTTGCAGTTTTGAGGAGCTCTCGGGACTCACGGTCCCCAAAGTCTAAGAACCACCATCTGGCCGCATAGGTGAGAGACCTTCTTCCCACAAACTGTTATGTCGATGCTGCTTTCAAAGGCAGAACTGGGTCTGACTTGCAGCAGAAATTCTTGTGATGTGAAATCACATATAACGAGAAGGAAAAACACAGCCTACAAACACACATTTTGGTCCTGAAGAACATTTTTAGAGTTTGATCTCACTTCCGTTTTCTTTTTTCAATACCTACTTACCATAGAAATTGAGATGAGTCTTGGTGTTTCGGTGTGAAGGCGGAGGTGGAGGAGATTTGCATCTCTACCCAGCAGCACATCTCAGAATGACCCATCTTATCCACCAGGGAGGGAATGACTGTGTAAACGTGGAAGTGGGTTTGGAAGATCAAAGTGTTTACCTTGAACTCTGTCACCTCATCCCCTACAGCATCAGATTTTATCCGTGACTTTAGGTGGGTGATAGGGTTAGCAATGTGCTGTCTTGAAAACCCTAACTTCTTTAAAAAGACAAAACTAAACTAACGTGTCAAACCAAACCAATGCCCTAATCTACTGGTTAAATATTTGCATTTCTGAAACCTGGAGGTCGCGGACTGGTGGAGCCCTGGGACGCAGGTGTGGTGGAGACTTGCAGGAGATGGCAAAGGGCCGCCAACATCAGGAGGAAAGCGCAGGCTCCTGGGGTCCCTGTTCCCCAGGGAGGAATTCCTGGTAACCCTGCCAGGACAGCCCCTCCACGTCCGCCTGCTTCCGAGCAGACAGGGTCCTGCGTGCACAGGTGGAGGTTCGGGGCCCCTGCCACTGCCTGCGAAGAGCCTGCCTCAGCTCATCCCCTTCTCAGCTCAATGCCCCAGCCCTGACCCCACAGCCCGGTCCTCTGGTGACAGGAGACGGGACAGTCTCCATCTGGCAGTCCCGTCAGATCAGAACATCCTTTCTGGGGAGGACACTGCTTTGCACTGGCTTTTTCCAAGGCAGTCCCGGGTCTCAGTTCCTGGGCACCCATGGAAACACAGAAGGAAATGACCCATGTCCCCTTAGCTCACCAGGTAACAGCCCCGAAGCAGCCCGCCGACTGCCCTGTTGAACACACTCGTTCAAGGCCACCCAGAGGTCCAGTGTGAGTGGCATGCTGGTGTGACAGGAGCCGGATGTGGCTCAGAGGACCTTAGCGTCCTTATTTCCCCTTTCTCGCAGGCAGCCTTGAGTTGGAGAGGCCGGGCTAAAGCCGGCATCTAGGCATTTAGAGGCATTAAAGGTGGCTGGAGTGGTGAAGAGAAGGAGGGAGGTTATAAATGAGAAGTTGGCAGGTTATTATGTCACCAACAGGGGGAAATGAGGGATGCAGTTTCTGAGCAGGGAAGGGCTCTGTCCTTGGCAGGTAGACTGGGACCAGGTCTTGGCCGGGGTTCTAATGGGCCGTTGGAAAAAGCAAAGGAGGTGTGGTTGGGTGAGCTGGGCGGGGTAGAGGGGGCAGTTTTACAATTTTCAAAAAGTTTTCTCCCTCCTCCTGCTTCCCACCCCCAAACTGAAATGAAACCAGTTGAGTCCAGAAGGACTCACAGTGAGGAGGGAGGCAGGTTGCAGAACCTCCATTTGCAGGTTTGGAAGGCAGTGCCTCGGTTCGGTGCCGTGACAGACCGTGTCCCATTGGTCCGAGGGAGAAACTTAACCCCACAATTACTTGATTTGAAAAGAGGCTTTGCTGTCTTCTAAAGCAGTCTGTGTTTAGTTAGTAGACTTTCAACTTTTTAGAAACAGGAAAAGATTCTAGGCGTGTTTCCCAGGATATACCAATGCATGTAAATTACCGCAAAGAACGCATAGGAGATGCTGCCACTGTAGAGAGAAAGCCTAGCTTGAAAGCAATTGTGGGAAAACAGAAGTGAGGCCTGTGTTCTCTTTACTTTGGCCTGTCGTTACTGCGGACAAGAATTCAAAAAATCTGGAACACTGAAAATCGCATCTTCTAAATCTGTACATTTTGAAGACATATGTGGAGTATACATATATTTTTTAAAAGCATGAAAAGGGATAAATGGAGATGAAAATATTTTGTGGGGTGTTTTTGAAGACAACGTGGGGAAAATGCTTCAAAATGCTTTAAGAAGCAAAAAGAAAATGCTTCTTAAAATGGTAAATTTTAAGAGCATATTACAAAATTGCATATAAATAAATGTTTCTCTTTGTCCCATGTGGGATAGCTGGTCCCTGACCTTCTTGAAGCTCTCCACACTCCATATACCCACAACGGAGGAACTGCACAGATGTCAGACACGGTCCATTAGGAGGAGTGAGACGGAGCCACAACAACCTAGCCCAGGGAGCAAGAAAGAGCGTAAAAGCCACGTGCTTCTCTGGGATAACGGAGAACATCTGTCGCAGACTCACAGGGCTGGGAGGACAGCTCTAAGACCTTGCCACCCTCCCTGGAGCATACTTGCTGCTTCTGGCCAGAATCCCTTTCCAGGGCTGGGGTGGGACCCTGTTTCCACCTCCCCATCTCTGGATGGACATCTCTGTAGTGGTCCACGTGCCAGCTCTGGGTGTCTGGTGGTGAGGCCATCTAGACTCCGGGAAGCCGGCCTTCTTGAGAAAGTCAGAGGGTTCAAGGCAGAGGTATGACCAGAGGTGGGGGGCCAGGTATGGGGATACGAGGGTCCTGGGGCACCGCTCTGGGTCCTCGAAACAAGCCACTGCCTGAAAACCCTGCGTTGGGCACTTATTGGAAGGGAGACCCGTCTGAGAGGACGTGGTCTTTCCTCTGCTGTTCGTTCTTTCCATCCGGACGATTGAGGATCCCTGCGCTCTGTCTCTTCCTCTGCAAGCTTGTGTCTCTACTGGCTGGTCCAGGAGGCAACTCTGCTCCGCAGAGAGTTTTCAGGCCTCCCTCCTTTTTATAACATCTCAGAGAGGAGACGCAAAGAGGCTTGGCTACTGAGTGTCTTTCACACTGTGGCCTGAGACACACTAGTGCGACGAGAAATCCATGTCATGAGTTGGAGGCGGTATGAAAAACAAGCAAACGAAACAAAACAGAAGGAAACACAGAAGGAAACAGGAATGAACTGAACTGAACCGGAACCACCAGAGTACCCGGCACAGAGTCAGGGTGAGTGTCATTTCCTGGAGTCTGTGTGAACCTTTTGTTCACGGTAACATCCACACACGCGCATCTGTGTGCGTCGTGTTTGTGTTCTTGGTTAGGATGGGAGACTTGTGTCCGGGCCGTGGTCCAACGGGTTTGGAAGCCACCGGTTCAGGGAGGTGTTGCCTCCGTGGGGCTGCGCAGAGGAACCTGTATTTGGTCTTCGCCCCTGCTTCCAGGCACAGACCTCCCAGCAGCCCTGGAATTTCCGGAGTGATGAGAGTGTGTTAGTCACGACCTGAGCTTACGTTAATGAGGTGCCTCTTGGTGGCCCCTGGGCAGCTGTGGGAGGACGGAGACGGGCAGCCAGAGGAGCCAGCGGGTGGTTAGAGGGTTGGCACTTGTAGCCCTAGCTCTGGCCTTTGGGGAGGGGAGAGGGGCTGCAGATTTCTAATCACCAATGGCCAGTGATGTCGGCAGTCATGCCTATACAACAAGTGGCCCACAAAACCCCTGAACAGTGGGGTTCAGGGAGCTTCAGGTTGGGGAGCACACTGAGGTCCTGAGGGGCATGCGCCCCCCAGAAGGCGCGGGGGCTCTGCATCCCTCCCCACCTGTTGCCCTGTGCCTCTCTTCCATTGGGTTGTTCCTGAATTGTACCCTTTGTAACAAACCAATATATGTAAGTAACATGCTTTTCCAGGTTCTGGGAGTCACTCTAGTGAATCATCAAACCCGAGGGGGGTGGGTCACAGGAGGCCCCAGGCTTGTAGTCGGCCGGACAAAAGGGGGTGGTGGCCTGGGCCCCTCATTTGTGGTTTGAGCCTGAAGTGAGGACAGTCTTGTGGGGTCTGCGTTCACCCCGGGTGACAGTGTCAGAACTGAATTGAGTTGCAGGACACCCAGTGGGTGTTGGAGAGCTGGGCGTGGTGTGAAGAACCCCACGCATTTGGGGTCAGAAAAAGGACCACACGGGGGCTCAGAGGAGGAACGCGGTTCCACTGTGATCTGCTCCGTGTCGCCCGCAGCAGGTGGGCAGCAACCAGGCGCCTGTCCCCGATGGCGACCGACTTTACTCTCCCGCCCCCTCAGGGGCAAAGTCCAGGCGTTTTCCTGCTCGACCTCCTATGGAGTCTGTCTCCTCTGGCTCAGGTAAGGCACGTGTTGTCTATTGTTTGTTTAGCAATTGACGAGACACTGCCATAAAGCTCGTTACTGCTTTGTCGGTGGACTTCTCAACTCCTGAATGATGGGAAATGTTAGCAAAATGAGGCAAAAGCTGTCCTGCCTGTCCCGATTTTCTCTACCACTGTCCCACAGAAAGCCACAGAGGTAACGTTACATTTTCTAATGACCACTATGAAAACGCAAAAAGAAATGAGCAGAAACTAATTCTAATAATTTATTTTAGCCAATCCAATAGATCCAAAATATTATCATTTCAACAAGTAACACAAAAAGATTATTGCTGAGATACTTCACATTCCTCTGTGCTGCTCCCTTTTTTTTTTTTTTTTTTTTTTGTGGTACGTGGGCCTCTCACTGTCGTGGCCTCTCCCCTTGCGGAGCACAGGCTCTGGACGCGCAGGCTCAGCGGCCATGGCTCACGGGCCCAGCCGCTCCGCGGCATGTGGGATCTTCCCGGACCGGGGCACGAACCCGCGTCCCCTGCATCGGCAGGCGGACTCCCAACCACTGCGCCACCAGGGAAGCCCGCTGCTCCCTTTTTGATTCTTGTGTATATTTCACACTCACAGCACACCTCAGTTCAGAATTGGCCATATTTCAGGTACTCACTGGCTAGATGTGGTGAGTGGCTATCCAGTTAGTGCAGCTCTACGTTGTCTAGCACACAGAGAGGTTAAGCCACTCGCCCAAGGCTACCCAGCTGAGAAGAGGCAGAGCCACGATTCATAGCTAGACAGCCTTGACCTGGGCCTGGGCCCGCGGTCACTTTGCTGTGCTGCCCCTCTGTGCATGGCCACCACGGGCATGGCATTTCTGATGCAAAGGGAAGGGCTCCTTGGATGGTGGAGGGGGGACCGTGGAGTGGTGACCTAAGATGCCCAGACTGCATGGAAGAGGAAACACAGCAAGGAGAGGCTGATGTGGCAGAGACCACCCTGAGTGTGAAGGGAGCGGTTCTGCAGAAGTTCAACGAAGGGCAACGTGAGAAGGTCATTGGTGGCTCGGAGCCAGAGGTCCTGAAAGAAGAACAATACCAGTGATGCTGACCTCTGGACGTGCTGTGAAACGGCTGAAGGGAGAGGAAAGAAAAGTCATCGGAGTTAGGAGGTCAAGGAAGGCAGTGAGGGTAGGGTGAGAGCTGGAGGTGGTCAATAACTCAGGCAGGGCGCAGATGGAGAGAGACCACGTGAGGCTAACGTCCTCACCTGAAGCCTAATGCAGAGGCAAAACACGCTTGAAAAGAGCTGACGAGCACAGACCGAGGAACCCATCAGCAAAGGCAAATTATGTAAGGAAATATGTGGCTGGGATACTGCATAAAAGTCTATGAGGTGGGGTTACAGCAAAAGCATTAAATGATGGATGGATTTTATCTGCATAAAAATGAAAAACTCCTGTACCTAGAAAAAGTTATAAACACATTAAACATAGATGAAACACAGGATAAAATATTGCCATATGAAAGAACAAAGGTAATAAACAAGTTGTAAAGAATTCAAAACAGAATAGAAAGGAAAGCAAATCGTAAAAGGGCAGCTTGCAGAAAAACTACATGTGACTAAGAAAAACAAGGAGAAAGACAGTCTCACTAGCAGCTAAAGAAATTCAAGTCAACATTGAAATGCAATCTTCACCTATCACATTGCAAAGGTGAAAAAAAATACCAGGTTTGGATATGGGTTTGGGGAAAGAGGCACTTATATAAACTACTGATGAGAACGTACGTACATCGGGGCAGTCTTTTTGGAGGGGATTTCAGTTCTATTGCTATGTAACAAAAGACCGCCAAACTGGGTGGCTTCACAGATATTTTATTACCTCAAGGGGTTCTGTGGATCTCCTGGGCTTAGCTGGGTGGTCCTGATGCTGGACCTAGAGTCACCTGGGGGCTCCTGCTGGGCTGGAGCATGCCAGGGTGCTCCGTACACGGCTGGCCGTGGAGCTGGCTGGAAGCTCGGTTTGGGATGCCAACGGAAGCACCTCCACGTGCCTCTGTGGGGAGACCGGCAGTTAGGTTTTAAGAGAGGGTGTCTCAGAAGCAAGTGTTTATGAGAGGCGGGAAGGGAAGCCACCGGGCCAGCTAAAAGCCCTGTCTACGGGCCCAGTATCACTTCTACCATATTGCATTAGTCAAAGCAGGCCCGGGGCCCACCCACGGTGGTGGAGGAATAAACTGCACCTTTTGGTGGGGGAGGTACGTTACAGAAGAGCGTGTAGGGTGAGAGATGCTGCCACTATCTCTGGAAAATTCAGTATCCCACAGAAGGCAATTAGACAATATTTATTATAAGTCCCTAGTGTCCGTAAATCCTTTATCCCAACAAATTCTGCTTCTGAAAATTAGTTTGAAATGCATAGTCGTAGATATTCCTGAAGACTTGGCTATTTAAAAATTGCTCCTCATAACATCAAGTTGAAAGGTATTCTCGTGCCTTCAAATAGGAAATTGAGTGAGTAAATGCGTGGGCAGATCTAAGCAAAGCAGCGTCCTGAGGTGGGGTCTGGGGGTTGGAAAGGAGGGGTAATGCCGTTGGGTGCTGTTTTCCCCTTGCCGGCTTGGAGCCTCTCAGACACTCCTGAGCAGGGGTTTGGGGGCAGCCGGGAGGTCGGCAGATGGGGTCCTTTGCCTGCTGAGCAGCAGAAGGAACTAGGGATTTTGAGCTGCTCGAGAGGGGCTGAGCGTGAAAATGATCTCCCCAAATTCTGAATTCTGATTTGTGGCAGTTGGAGCAGAGATTCTGCTTCACAGAGGCCAGAGCTAGCACGGCAGGTGGAGACAAAGGCGAGGCCACTTCTACTTCCCTGGAAGGGAGGACTTTCGACGACCTGAACGGGGACCCGAGGCACACGGTGGCCGAGCCCCTCTGCGCACCGGGAGTGGGCACGGTGACAGCCAGCCCGGTTCAGGCTGTGTGTCGGCCCGAACTTGGGGGACGTGCCCCTCCTCTGTGGCCCCTGGTGGTCCATTAGAACAGCGAGGGGTGAAGTCCAGGACCCCCGGCACGGGGAGACCCAGGGCCCTGAGCCTCGTCCGCAGGAGCGGAGTCCCCTGCCTGCTTCTCCGCCCGGCTTTCCTGTGTCAGGCAGTCCGTCTCCACGTAGGGCCTCTGGGCGCAGGGGACACACATCGCCCTGTATGCCGTGGCTCCAGAGGAGAGCTATTGCCCGTCACTCCCGCGACTGTGCCGGAGGCATCCGCTCCTCCTGGCCCGGGTCGTTCTCAGCCCTGAACCAACCGCAGTGCCCAGTAGATGACAAAGCAGACCGCTGGGCCCGGGGGACGGTACAGCTCTACCTGAGCCACACGGGGTCAGAGCAGGGGTGACACTGTGGTCCCCCAAAAGGACCCTGAGGGAATATACGCCTGGTGGGAAAACAGTATGTCCACGCCAGAAAGTTACCCAGGGTCACCAAGGTGGCTGGACTACAGCCAAGTCCAGGCCTTTGCAAAAGATGACACCAGCGCAGTGTAGCGCTTCGAGCCCCAGCTCCGCCCTCACGGCTCTGTAACTGTAGCCCCTCTGCCCCTCGTCTGTGAAATGGGAAAAACAGAGCCGGCCTCACAGGGTCCTCTTAAGGGTTAGATTAGTTAAAGCAGCAGAAGTGCTTCGTCAGTTCCCGGCACTGACTGAATGTTGGCCCTCACTGTGGATGGTCCTTTACGAGGTCTGCAAAGCCCAGAACGGGCAGCTGGCCGATGGAAACGGTCCAGTAGGAGGGCTTCGCTCAGAACAGACTTCACCCTAGAGGCCACGCAGTGTCGACTGCGTCCCTGGGGTCTCGCTGAGGGTCAGGAGCGGGGTGGGAGGGGGATGGGCTGTGTCTTGCCCTCTGTGGCACCATCAGTACCACCAGGGGAGGCAGCAGCTCCCCGCACACACCCCCACCCCACCCCCGCCAAATTCATTTGGACGGGAGCCTCTGAAACAGTGGCCCAGGCATCCCGTCTGTTTCAGGCTTGAATTCCACCCAGAAAGCTTTGGGGCTGGCTGAGGTCTGGGCACGTACACTTGGTGCTGTGTTTGGGATATCCCGGAGTAAACACCATCTTCATCCAAGGCAGTTAAACCAAGAGTTCTGTGGTCCAGGCAGTCTGGGGAGACAGGAATCGTACAGCCTTGACTCCTGGGCGTAAGGACTTCAACACGCAGACGTGAGGAAAAGCTTCACAGAACACAGAAAGTGAAACAAGTGCACAGCGCTGGGAAGGGCCTATGAAATCAGATGACGAGGCCGAGGAGGGCTCCTCCCTCTGAGAAGAGGCCTCTTCGATGGAGTCCCGGACAGGTGGACAGAGCAGCCTGGACACACAAAGGAAGGGGCGGTGAGAGGTCAGGGGAAGCTGCTGTCAGCCTCTGCTCGCTGGAGGGTCTGGGATGCTCTTCCCAGCTCTGATGCGACCCCTCCTACACACGAGTTTCTGCTCAAGGTACTAAATGGAATAGTCAAGAAAACAAACTACGAGACGACGGAGCAATGCCTTTGACGTCTTGACAGACAGCGATT